CCTGCCCCCTTCCCATGTGAGTTTGCTAGGTCTGTTACACCATCACTTTCATTTAGGAGATTGCCTGTGCTTCTCTGTGCTGCTGGTAAGGGCCTTTTCATATCTTATCACATCAGTTTTTCACAGTTATCCAGTGATGAAAATTGGCCAGATATTACACTAATCTCTATTTCATAAATCAAGAATTAAGTTTACAGAACTCCTTCAAAAAATCTGGTGTTTACTTGTGTTATCTCTGGCATCGATGGGTGAGTTGACATGTTTGGATGGCCTGCAGTCATACTGTATCTTATTTGAGAATTTTAGGTGTGGCAGATTTTTAACATTAAGGAACTGACTCTTGATAATGTTTTTTATCTTCTTGAAATATGTTTTTATGTAGGCAGGCTGGCCTGGGACTTCTGATCCCCCTGCCTATACTCCTGAGTGTTAGGATGACAGATGCATGCCACTACCTCTAAAGTGAAGACTTTGGTTTAGCGAGGGCAACCATAAAGAATGCTCTTTGCACAACCAGCATCTTCCATCCAGTGGAAGTTAGAGGCTTCCCTGGCCCAGATCTTACCTCCGTTCTCCAGAATCTGCAGACAACAAAGCCCTTGCAGTTCTTGGTCTCCAAGGTCTCTAGGGACTTCTTACGTTGTTTATTCAGTTCTTGTCTTTTTGTCAAAATTTTACCTGTCCTTTGAGCTCAAGGGTTACCTGTCCTGTTAATTATTTGCTTACCATCATCCACAGACATAGGTGGCCCAATCTTTGTTCACTGAAACCTTTCCTCGGTCCCTCCTTCCTTCCCTTCTTCCTCCTTCCTTCCTGGTACTTCTGGGGATTGAACACAAGCCATTGCTCATTCAATGTTACATTGTGATCTTAGGGCACACCTTTCCTTTCTTTCTAACTTATAACAAGCTAGTGCTGGGAATGGATACTGTAGTCTGAATGGATACTGTAGTCTCAATGCATGCTGGGCAAAACTCTTCACCACTAGTGACATCTCAGGAGCTTCTGGTCACTTTTGTAGTCTGAGATAGCATATATCATGATATAATGCTGAAAATATGTATTAATTAAATTAGATTCATTGAAGATTATTAAGTTAACATTTTAACATAACTGTAGTCTTACTTCCAGTGTAATTTGTTTCAGAAAATTTCCCCTTCCTTATTAGTCCTCAATGTCTTATTTTTGAAATTGAAAAACTTATAAAAGTATATAAGGACAATGAAAGCCTTTCTTCTTCCAGAGAACTATGTGAAATGACGACCTCCTGCCTCAGCACTTGTAATGATTTAATATAGATGTCTTCCATTATTTTAGTGTGCTCATTTCCAGGATTTAAAGCACAAGAATGTGTTCCAGGTTCATCTTTCTTTGTTGCTTTCATAGCCTGGAAACCATCCATGTCCACAAGTAGCCCTGGTTCCATATGGGGGATAAAAATACTTAGAAGTCAAGCTTCCTGTTCTAGCTGTGCTCACGGATGATACTGTTCCCAGGCCCTCTCAATGGATAAGGCAGGAGCTAATTGCAATGATACTTCTCTCTGCCCGGCATAATACTAGAGACCAGCAGTTAACACTGATATCTCAACTCTAGCTTCAAACCACTAGTTCAGTCTAGTTCCCACCCCCTCCATATTTGCAAGTACCTTCTTGGACACTGAGTGTATCAGCAGATGACATAGAACATAATCATACTTGCTTAATTCACAGGTTTGCTTATACAAGGCTCCAACTTACCATTCTGACTGTCTCTCTTTTCCAGAGCCATGGCTTTTCCCCCCTCCCATTATGTTTGGGCTCTGCAGGACACACTAGGCCACTGCTTTGTTTGGATACCCTCCTCTTCCAGATGGGCTCTGGCAGAGCACACTGAGAAGGATGCTTTCTGTGTCATCTTTGAACTCTCACAGCCTGCCTGTGTGCATGCCTATAGCTTTGACTCATTAGGAATTCACAGTGTGTTTTTGTCTGTCTGTTTCTTCCCCTACTTAGACACATTCATGCCCTTGTTTAGGCTCGAATCCAGGCCCTTCTCCCTTGGTGAAGCTCTGCCATGTCACTAGGGATCCTCTCCATGCAGGTGTTATTTGTTGGCAGTCCTTGGGAGGAAAGGGAGGTCAGCAAACAGGAGGGAAGAGGAGACAAGTAAACGGGATGTACTTTCCCTAAGAGCAGTAGTTCTCAACCTGTGGGTCAAGAACCTATGGAAAATTCCCATCTCCAAAGATACTTTCATTATAATTCATAATGGTAGCAATGAGAATAATGTTATGGTTGTGGTCATCATATCACGAGGCTCTAGAGTTCTTAGTATTTCTACAGAGAGACACACAGTTCAAAGATGTAAATTTGCTCCATATTTGCTCCAGTAACAAAGGATTTGAGCTGAGAAAAATTTGGGGTTATTTAAGAAAAAAATGGGCTGAGAATATAGGTCAATTGGTAAGTGTTTGCCTAGCATAAGACTTAGGTTTGAGCCCCATCATCAACAGGAGTGGTAGCACAGGCCTAAAACCTGACCACTAGGGAGGTAGAGGCAGGGGGACCAGAATTCAAAGGTCATTTTTAGCCTTATATGAGACCATTTCTTAAAAAACAAGACAAAAAAAAAAAAAAAAAAAAAAAAAAAAGCCTAAACAATGACATTAACTGTCCTTTCAATTGCAGAATGAAATTCTTAATTCTCTTCTTAGTATTCTCATATTTCATATTCTAAGTGACTTTTAAATTAGATACTTAGAAGCAAAAAGTCTGGGTTCTCAACTTTGTTAATTATCATATTCTAAGTGACTTTTAAATTAGATACTTAGAAGCAAAAAGTCTGGGTTCTCAACTTTGTTAATTATCTTGTTTATAGATGAGAGAACTGATACTCTTATCTTTATCTTTTAAAACTATTTGAACTATTTGTACATGTCTAAAAAAAGGTATGTATTTTGTGGATTGTATTTAATGTTTTAAACTGGTAGCCTTTTTCATTACTGATAAAATGCCACATTCTGGGTACCAAACAGAATCTGAGTTTATTAAGGTAGAAGAACTAGAAATTAGCCCTAATTATTTGTTAACTTGCAATTTTATGAGTATTTTCTCTTAATCACATACTTACTTTGTATGAACTGTACTTAAATGTTCAAGCAGTTTGTTATTTATTTTATTATTCTATAGGGTTTGATTGGTTGGCAAATACATGCCTAGACATCAGTGACTGCCAAATAAATCATACTTAAAAAACAAAAACAAAACAAAAACCCTATAGTGTAACATTTGTATTATTGAAAATCTATCCATTGCACTTGTCCCCTAACGGAGTAGCTCAGCATATCATTGTACCGACAAAGTTAGTTGCGGCTATGCCCGGAAGAGAAACACATCTTATTGGATGGAGGCCAGCCTTTTCAAGCATCCATTCTTGTGCAGAGGCCACTTGCTAGTCACCCAAGCAAAAAACCCCACAAAAAGCTGGATCATGTAAGAGTTCCTTTGTGCTATCAACTTACTTTTGGCCCCTAGGTGAGAAGTTTGCCCTGGGAGCATCAGTGCCATGCTGTAAATTAATACCAACAAATGGGTAGGGTTTTGTTGTTGTTGTTGTTGTTTTTAAGAATCCACCTCCAAGATACTTTAGTCCAGGGCCTTTCCAGGCAGGCCTTTTTGCGTCACGTACATGTGAGTGATGTGTGTGCTGACCTGGGATCTGTTGATCTGAATTGCTCCCAGTCGTGGAGAAATTACTCTCCACATTAGCGATTGGCAGGCACACTTACACAGAAAGCCTCCTTCTGGCCACTGCTCTGGTACAGCTTGATGCCCCTGCAGCTCACAACCCACATTCCTTGGCAGGACAGCCCAGTTCTTCTCACCTAGCTCCCCCTTTTCCTGCAATTTCCCTTCTTGTACACACTCACATAGGCGGGGGTGGGGTGGGTGGGGGCGCCCGCATTTCTTATGAGTAATAGTTTGTTTTTCCTTCCACCTCCTTGCTCTTCTGTTAGCTGCGAGTGCTTTTGAACTTGCTGTTCTTCAGAGGATAGCACACACTCATTCTGAAAGGCACGAAGAGAGCTTTGAATTCGTTTTAAGCCATCTGACAGCCAAGCCGGTTTCACTTTATTTCTTTATTTCTGGATCGTTTCATCCACCGGATACAACCTTTGTCCCCAAACACCACATTCACTTTACACAAACTTGTTGACCTCACACCCAAGTCAGCTTTTCTTGAACCTTCATCTGAACAAATAAACATTCCTTGTGATCTGCGGATATCCCGAGCGGCGTCAGGAAGGGCCCGCAAGGACCATGCTGGCTCAGCTAGCCCACCAACATGCGACTGATTCGATTTCCTCTTTCTTCTCTGATTTTAAGAAGCGAGGCAAAAAGCCAATTCCTGTTAATTTCGTAGACAATGCAAGGGGCTCTAGACTGCGTTCCAGGAAGCTGATTCCTTGGAGGTAACAAAAAAGCGAGACCTGACACCAGAAAGGGGGCCAAGGAGCCCAGCCCTGGTGCGTTCCAGGGAGGGAGCAGGTACCACTGCGCCTGGGGTGGCAGAGCTAGAGGTAAGAGCCTAGGCTCGGCGCCCCAGCGCGGACACACTCGGGAGCTCAGCCTAGGGCAGGGTGACAGACACCACGTGCTGCAGAGGCGGGGACAGCACCCTCCCTCCCTCTCTTATCTCTAAAGGGTGCAGGGCAGGATCCTAGAGTTTCGCAGAGATAGAGGGGAGATACAGAGAGAGAGAGAGAGAGAGAGAGAGAGAGAGAGAGAGAGAGAGAGAGAGAGAGAGAGAGAGAGAGAGAGAGAGAGAGAGAGAGAGACTATATTTTGAGCCTCAGAGTCCGACCTAGACACCAGAGGTGAGAGGCTGCTGTCTCCTTCCTAGCAGCCCGCCAAGTCCACAGCCAGTAGAGAGAGGGTCCTGCGCAGACGTGGGAACCTCGGGATCCTGACGGCGTGTTTCTCTGCAGCTCCTGGGGGTGGGAGGTGGTGGTGGTAAACAATCGCTCCCCTTCCACGTCTGCCGCGGGAAAGTAAAGCCTCAAGACAGGAAGAGGAGTTGGGGTTGCACAGTCAGAGAGGATTTAGTTCTCCGAAGTGTGGCGCGGTTGGGGCTTTATATCCGGGACAAGCGAGTGTCACCACACTGTAAGCAAATCCTGGGGCCTCAGCAAACCAAGCTCGGGGCAGCTGGCCCCACGCCCGGCTTGGAGTTCGAGACTCTGACCACGCTGTGCTCTGGGGCCTGCAGGCTGCTGACCCGGTGGCCTTTATCTCTGTCCCCCTTTGTTCCTTTTATCTCAGGCTCCACAGGAGGCCCGGAGGGGCCACGCTGCCTATCGCCTCCTGGCTGTGCTAGCTCTTCAATGCCCTGAAGGTCTGAGGCTGCAGAGGACGGGGCACCGAGTGTCTCGCTAACTGGGCCAGGCAGTGACGCGGGACCGGCGGCCCTCCCACCCCCAGGGCACCGACACCGGGGCACCCGCGCGGGTCTCTGCAGCCGCCAGCTCTGCTGCGGCGCGCTCCACGAGTTCCACGATGACTCCCGGCCGGGCAGTGGCCGGGTTGCTGCTGCTGGCGGCCACCGGCCTGGGACACCCTGCGGAGCGGCCGGAGCTAGCGTTCAGCGAGGACGTGCTGAGCGTGTTCGGAGCCAACCGGAGCCTGTCGGCCGAGCAGCTCGGGCGCCTGCTGGAGCGGTTGGGGGCTGCACCCCACCAGGGAGCGCTGCAGCTGGGACAGCTGCACTTCAACCAGGTAAGGGGCGGCCCCTGGCCCACGATTTCCATCCCCAGAGCAGCCTTTTCTAGGAGGAAGAAGGAAGGAGAAAGGATTTCGTGAAGTTGCTTCTCTCTCTCTCTCTCTCTCTCTCTCTCTCTCTCTCTCTCTCTCTCTCTCTCTCTCTCTCTCTCTCTCTGTCTCTCCTCTCTCTCTGTGGTAATTGAATGGCCCTTGATTCATCAGGGATCAAGGACTAGGAAGATCTGGGATCTTCCAGCCAGAATGATAAACTGAGCCACCAGAGGCTTCTTGATCTGTGGAGAAGCTGATACGAAGGTGTAAGAAGTAGTCGAGGTAGGGAAGCCACCGCAAGGCATGCATCTTAGGAAAGAATGTTACTTTTCAACCTGGCGGAAAGAGCCATTTACTTAACTTACACAGTCAGCAGAAGGGACCTGTCACATGCGGTCCTTATCACCTTCAGGGCGAGTGACCACTCCCACTCAAGAACTGCTCTTGTGTGTGTTGCTTAAGGCCCTCATAGCTGAAAGGGCACACCGTACAGATGTGGAAACTGAGGGCACCTTAAACTCAGATCATTGCATGGGTGGGGACTCGGTTGGTGGCAGGCTGGGATTAGAGTTCATCTCTAGTCATTGTCATGCCATGTAAAGTGTTTGATGCTAGAATTCATTCAAAATAATAAAACACGTTTCTCAGCCTTGGATCTGAGGACAGGCTTGAACTTCAGAGAGTAACTAAAAATCACCCTTGTCACAGGGCTGGGGCTATGGCTTGGTGATGGAGGTCCGGGGTTCTATTCCCCAGAACTGCAAACCAAGGGAGGAGGCAGTTAAATCAGTGCTTCTGTCCCCAATTCCTGCTTGGACTGCTGTTAAACAGCAGACAAAGCAGTTCATCCGTCCTTTATCATTTGGGGGGGGGTTGATTATAATTAAGGAAACTTTACTCTGATCTATTTCTAGTACTACAGTTAGGTGGGCTTCTCCCTCCCTCCCTCCCTCCCTCCCTCCCTCCCTCCCTCCCTCCCTCCCTTCCTCCCTCCTCCCCTTTCTTCATTCCTTCCTTCCTAGGGATTAGAATTAGACATATTGTGTCTTGCACGCAAGTCAAGTGCTCTAGTACTAGCTATAGCCCAGCCCCTTGACTTTGTTTCTGTTAGTAATATCTTTCACCAGTTAAAATGTATACAATTCAACACACAGGGTTTTCTGTTTTTCTTTGACCTAGAAGGATTTTGTGATGCCCTTATGCAGAGTTTTTAAACGTAAATGCTCTGAAGTTCCATTTCTTGTATATTTCTATATTTCACTTAATGTTTAAGAAATTACATGTTGCAAAGAGTAAAATGTCAACATATTTTAATGACACATTTTGAAATAAAGCAAATACCATTGTAGGTGTTTTCTGGGTTAACTGTCTTCTTTTCAAGCAAAAAAAAAAAGCAGAGCTGACTAGTTTCTAGGTAGGTGTAGTCATTTGCTTGGAATGAAGTTTAGGGACTGGACTTGAACTGTATCTGTAGGTCACATACTATGCTGACTTAAAGGATAGCCTTATCTGGCAGTGTCTGGAGGTGAATTTTAAAGGGGCCAAAGACCCCAAGCTACCCTTGCAAAGATAGTAGAGTGTATGCCTAAACTATTTAGGAAAATCAGTTAAATTTACTAGTAATACAATTCTTAGTTAAGAAACTGGTAGGGTGTCCCAATAGGTAAATTATATGCTGATAGCTTTATTTTCTCTCTCAAGTTTGCATGTAAACTCTCATTATGAGCATCAAAAAGCAACAAGAAGAAGCCCATAATTAGCTTGGAAACACAGAGAAGCCAGGAAAAACTCCTGCACTACTCGGGGTTAACAAATATCTATTTGCAGTTCTGTGGAGTCTCAGTGAAAATGGCAATCATTGGTGGAATGATGACAGTGATAATCTAGAAGAATCCATTACTTCACTGGTAATTGATAGAGAGATGTGCCCCAGTGAAATTAAAAAATTCAAAAGAATGCAACTTTGGTTCCCTGTCCACCACTGAGCAGAACAATGCAAAGGCTATTGTGAGACATTAAATTATCTGAGAAAGTAGGTTTCCATGGGCCAGAAGTTTCTGAATCTTCTATGAGGTCTGTCAACAAAATCGCATTTTTGGGTGAGAGCTTTGATAGCAGTTGAATCAACTTCTCTCAGGTAATAGATTATTGAATGTAGCAGGTTTGATTGATAAATTTGGAATTTTTTTTCGTGTGTGTGTGTGTGTGTGTGTGTGTGTGTGTATGTGTGTGTGTTTTGTGTGTGTGTTGTGTTTGTGTGTTGCGTGTGTGTCTGTGTATGTTTGTGGTGTATGTGGTGTGTGTGTGGTGTGTGTGTACGTATGTTATGTGTGTTTTGTGTGTGTGGTATGTGTGTTTTGTGTGTGTGTGCGTGCGTGTGTGTGCATGTGTGTGTTGTGTGTGTGTTGTGTGCGTGGTGTGTGTGTTGTGTGCGTGGTGTGTGTGTGTTGTGTTTGTGTTGTGTGTGTGTGCGTATGTGTGTTTTGTGTGTGTGTGGTATGTGTGTGTTTTGTGTGTGTGTGCGTGCGTGTGTGTGCATGTGTGTGTTGTGTGTGTGTTGTGTATGTGTGTCTGTGTATGTTTGTGGTGTATGTGTTGTGTGGTGTGTGTGTGTGCATATGTATGTTTTGTGTGTGTGTGGTATGTGTGTGTTTTGTGTGTGTGTGCATGTGTTGTGTGTGTGTTTGTGGTGTGTGTGTGTGTGTGTGTGTGTGTGTGTGTGTGCTGTGTTTATCATGAGTACCATTACCTTGGTGCTTTGAGAAACAGAAGTGGCTTGCATTCATAGTGGAGGTAGTAAAGCAATTCAGGTTACAACACTGCTTTTCAATGGCTAATGAGGGTAAGAAGAGTTAGGAGAGCAACCCAAGCTGTGTAAGAAAGAGGGCCTTGGTAGCCAGATGGCTCTGGAGTGCCCTGTGAGTGATGAGGAGACTGATCTGAGGGCAAGGTTTATAACACAGGAGAACGGTCCAGAGGTCAGAATATCCAGGAATGATGGGTCCGTCTCTCTCTGTTGCCACGGTGCTCCCCATTCTTTGCCCTTCATTTCTGTCCAGGAACCTTATATCCACATTCTCTCATGTGGACACTGGTTAAACAGCTGACAAAAGGGAAGCCCTCATTTTCTAGGTTATTATGTGATCTCTAGGGACACCGGCAGACGATTAATAGATGCTAGGTGGCACAACGACCTTAGTTTCACACTGTCCCTCTCTACCTGGTCTCCCTGTGTGTCTGCGGTCATCTGCAGCAGATGATTTTCTCTCACATTCCTATGGTCATCAGGTTGCCTATTCTTAGATATGGTGTCTATTTTTAGGCTATTTGGATTTATAAACCATCTTCCTAAAGGCATGTGTTATTCTTTCTTTGAATAACCTCCCATAATCTCTTTTTCTACCCATGAAGTCCAAATCCTGAGCCTGGCATTCAAGGCCCTGCTCACTTTTTGCCTACTTCCTCTCTACACATGGCTCCTACTCAACGGAACCATTCACACCTCTGTAAATTTCAGTTTGCTTTCACTCAATTTTGTCCCTGAACCTTCCTGCCTCCAACTAGAAAGACCTGTGTTCCCTTGAGTTCTCTAATTAAACATCTTAGAAAAGCCTAGTTAATCTTGTTCTAAAATCATGTAATCCAGTTTCTCTATTTCTGGCTTCTTGCAAGATTTTTATTACACTACTATCAGTTACTTATATATGTGTTCAACAGATTCCTTTAATAACTTCTAAAAATGACAGCACTCAGTTTAAATACAGAGCTTATTATATCACTCATCTAAGCAATCATATTCCTTTAAAATAAACACAAATACATTATTAGTATTATTATCATTGTTGTTGTTCTTACTATTATTTTGAAGTGCTGGTAGTAGAACTCTGGGACTCTTAGGAGCTAGGTTCATGTTATACTGCTTAGCTAGTCATAGTATAGTTCATAATCTTCAAGTGCTTTAAGATGGCTGAAAAGCCTTTTATGTTCTGTGCCATTGTATGTCTTTCAGACTATCCTTTGGTACCATATATGCTCACTTATGATAAGGTATCTGAAAAATTTTCTTAGAGCTGGCCAAGAGTTAAGGAGGAATTCCTTCCACCTACGTGGCTCTTGATCATGTCCTCTTCTCTGACAGTTAAAAACTTAAAAGTCAGAAAAAAATCTTGAGAGCAACAGGTATGGGAAATCCCAGACACAGCAGGCAGAATCAACCAGTAAAGAAAGGCTTTTAATAGGGATGAGGAAACACACTCAGTACAGTAAGGCACACACAGAGAGAGAGAGAGAGAGACACTGCCATGTGGAGTGGGGGTGGGGGGGGTTGTGGGAGGGAGTGGGGGAGAGGACTTGGGAGCCCCAAACCTGGCCTCTCTTTGAGGGGGATAGTTTAAGGTCTTTGAGGAATATTCCTCTCCCAATTTAGGGGTTGGCCACTTTGAACAAAGGCAGGGAATCTGAATAAGCCCATAACTTTGGTATAAACATATCCTGGTCCTGGCCTTGAACTTGTCATATTGGTCCACAGGCAGGGGGCCCTAAGCAACCAGGCCTTTGTCTCAGGTCAGGAGTGTAAGGAAGAAACTCTCCTTTTGTCACTTTTATTACCTATTTGTGACCCTTCTTTCTATCTGTCATCTGCCATCAGGGATCTGTCTAACTCCTAGGTCCTCACAATCAGAGTACAATGTGTATATAATTTTATCCGTGTTATCATGCTTTTCTATTTACATGACTATGTCTCACACCAACTCTTCTCTCAAGTGAGGCTTTAAACAGGCAGATGGGAATGATCTGGCTCATTCCTTCTGGGGCTGATATAGTACCTGATTCGTGCCTTGTATGCATTAGACATTTTTGTTAGGAATTTTGGAGTCACTTCTCTAGGGCCTCAAACTCTTGAGGCTCCTGCCTTGCCATTTCAAGTGTTGGGATTAGAGGAGTTGTTCCACCTTGCCCAGATT